CACTACAGAGAACAGAAATAGATTAAAAAAATTGAAAATCAACAAATTCGGTTGTGAGGTGGACGCTCTACTGACTGAGCTAACACTCCGGTACTTGCCCTTTTAATTGTTAATTCAATTTAATGTTTTCAATGTACATCTCCAAATATCATTTATTAAATTTCAAAACTCAAAATGATATGAATTATCATGAATTTATGACCGGCCATGCTTTAACATATCATCTCAGTATCTGCTTCGTTAATCAATCCATATGGATTTTCAGTTAACTAGATTGTCTGCTGGGTGGATGGAGCTGTCTACTTCTAACCTTCTACACACATGGCTAGCAAAGCAAATAAAGTGTTATTGCACCTTAAAGGAGACCTGTTCACATATAGCAAATCATGCATCTTGAACCCTTCTCTGTGTCATTGAAATTTAAAAGCAATTCATTAATTTTAGAATAGATGTCAGACTACCAGTGCATGAAGATTAACAATGACAATGTGGCAGTATAACTGAAAACTCATCTAACAAAGATTAGTTTTGTGGTACATATACATATTTCTAAACTTGGTAATTTAGTTAGAGTTTAAAAAAATTCCTCCTGAGATTGGTTTGATCACCAAATCAAGATTGAAAACTCTAATGATGATTATCTATACATGGAAGATATGCAAGAGCATGTACACTTTGGTAAGGGGTAATAAAGCTAGACCTTAATAGTCCATCTATTCGTATCTGGGCAATTTCCTCTTCTATATCTTTCCTTCTTGCTACTCTGCGTCACTAGGAAGTCTCCTTTGTCTTTCTCACATATAGCCACTACACCTTTCCATGAAGGAGATTATCACATACCGGTACATTGTACATTATAAGAAGGAGCTGGCATGTGGCTCGTTCATGTATTCCTACATTAACTTGTTGAAGTCGTTTCTTCTCTACTTAATGTAAAATGGTGGATCAGGAGTCATGAGCATAAATACCTAATGATAATGTATGTAACAAATTAGGTCACGAGAAATGTGTTTGGGCTCTTATGAGATAATGGGGATTAAACTTATTCATGCTAATTGCTAATAGCTTATTACATGTATGTGTTTCTCCCTCGGCCCAAGCAAGCTAGAATTTGATTTGGTAAACCAAACAACACTTCTTATGAAAAGTATTTAAGGTTGAAGATTCACCTCCTCCATCAGAAATAGGGCACTGTTTTGAAAACACTCCATAGAAAACAAGCCATGTGTGAACTGATCTTCAATCCAAGGATATTACCAAGCCAATACTCCTTGGGGAATGCACCAAACCTAACTCAATGAAGTTAGCTTTCCTGTAACAGCTTGCTATGTATGAATCTCGGTGCCTTTGCTCTACACCACTCCATATGTATATGTATGTATAGAAACACTGTTTCTGAGTGGCAAAAGATGATAAACGTACCCCATGATTAGTCTGACACTATTCTTGAAGGAAATCTGAGCTCAGTTATAAATTCAAGAAATTGAGCAAAACAAATTATACAGTGTCTGCAGCTGACCAGAATGGTGTTAATAATTAAGGGAATTAGGCCATTAAAAAAAATATACATGTTTAGCGTCCTCGCCCGCTTCCTTTTTGGGGACCGCCTCCTATTTTTTTTATTTTTTTTTTTGAAATTTTTTTTGATTTTTTTTTTTAATGAAAAAAAACATGAAAAACACTGCTAAAATGGATCTATTTCGGATTTAAAAAAAAAAAAAAAAAATGTTGGCCGCCATCTTGAAAAATAGCCCGAATGTCAGGGAAAATGTACCAAGTGGCCATTTTGAGCAGCCATTTTGAAAGAAAAAAAAAAAGGGGGGCCTCCTCCTTCCTATTTTTAAAAAAAACAGGACGCTAAACATGTTTTTTTTTTTTTTATTTGGCCTTAAAATGGAAAGATATTTCGTGTTAGGAGCTAGAAGGGCCTTAAGTCTGTGCAAAATGAAATGATTCAATGCTCTTCTGGCTCTAGAATCACAAATCTAGCCAAACTAATTATTTCTGGTAAAAACTATATATCCAGAACTTATTATTAGCTTTTTAAAACATCTCTCTTACTAAACGGGGCAAAGATGTGATTAAAAAAAATACTTAAAATCAGTCACGGACAGAAAATTTGTCACTCGTGTTAAGTCATCATGGAAAAAAATGTTATTATAAACTGACATTTCATCAGTTCAGAATCAGAAGGGTATTAACTCTCTGCTAAAGCATATATGAGTTTATTAATTAATGCTCTACTGGCTTCAAACAGACAATAAACTGATGTACTTTGTGATAAACATGATACAGTCATCGCTCTTTGTAACAGACTGAAGGACACCTGAACTCATGTTTGCATGTTACGAGCTGTGTTGATTAAGTTAATTAACATTGATTAATTGATGGGCTCAAGTCTCTTCCATTCATCGTTAGCTTGAAATGAGCGATTGACACATACTATTAGCTAGAGCATTCTCTTTAATGAAGGTCAGTAGACTCAGTACATTTAAACATGTATCATAATGTTCTAAAGTGCTGTCAGTTGTTATTACATGTATGTGGTTGAACGTGTACAAAGATTTAACATAAAATGTTAGTTTCATTTTTTTTTTTTTTTATTTTTTTTATTTATTTATTTATATTTGTGTTTATTTATTTTTTTCTTTTTTTTCTTTCTTATTATTATTATCATTATTATTATTATCATTATTATTATTATTATTATTATTATTATTATTTTTTTTATTTATTTTTTTTTGGGGGGGGGGGGGGGGTTCTAGTGATATTGTTCAAATTGCAGTAGAACCTGTATATAAAGAGTGCTCTAAAGGAACAAGAAAAGCTGTCTTTATAGGTAGGAGGATTTTTATGTGCAGCTTCATTTAATAGTAAATACTTTAATGTTTAATGAGACACACTTTTCAATGGAAACAGAAACTGTGTACTTGTTTTGGCCTCCCACCCCACACACACACACTTATCATCAAAACAGTTATCAGGTATCACTTCCAGCCAGTCACAAAATGGACAGTGCCTCTTGCACATCATAAATGTATGGTGACAGCAATTGTTCATTTCTATTTGGGAGAGTAAGGGTAGTCCTTTCAGCTCCTAGTCTTTATTGATCAGACCCTGTTTGATCGTTCTAGACGGGCCAAAAGTTTGATAATCCTAACTTCATGGAGAGAAAACATTTATTATAAAGCTGTTTTAGCCAAAGACTACTAATACAATGAGCTTAGTGTACCTTGCAATTATACATTGATTCCTTTGGTAAGCATTGAAAATGTATTCTGGAAAAGATCAATAAATCGTCCCGCTGTATCATTAGAACTCGTCCAGAACCATATGATCAATAACATGGGATTAGAACCAGTCACAACTCATTTGACCAAATCATCAGTCTAGACAAGTCTTGAGTTTGAGAGGTCCAGGGGAGAGGGGCTTTGGGAGGCACATGCACCCAAGCCCCCGCCCCCACAACAAAAATAAAATCTACAATTGAATATAAATTAATTTAGGCAAGGCACATGTAAACAAAATGAATGCAAGGAAACTTTGGGGGATGTAATCATGCTCAGAATATAACCCTGGGTGCTTAGTAAGAAATATTATGAAAGTGCTAAAAATCAACTTCTATATCACGAAGCTTTTAGCATGAATGAAAATCCACGATAAAGTTTATTGAGAATGACACCGTAATTTCAAATGTGGGTCCTTTGAAATGAAAGTGATCCATCATTCCCCAAGCAACACTCGCTTTTGCTCATGCATGCTTTGTTTTGCCAAAGATATAGGGTTGGGCTTAGATGGGTTGCAATGAAGTTGAGGGCTACAGGTAGGCCTTACTGATTAGAGTTTGCTGAATAGACTTGCTGAATAACAGCAATACGGTTGAAGCAGTTTTATTTTTTCATATCATATCTAAATAAAAATAAAAAATTTAAAGCATGGAATCCCATTTTGAAATTGTTAACTTGGTTCACAAAAGATATTAACCAAAGAGCACTTGTCGAAGGTGCATGAGTTAATTTTTTATTAAATTGGTTAAGGACTTAATATCCTTCATTCCTAGGCCAGTTCAAACAGATTTGAAATTTGTCATGATTCTTATGCCGTCTTCACCTGTTGCTAGATTAACCACTGGATACAGAGTTGGAAAAAGCTGTACACTGTAACATTTTATTTCCATGAAGTATGTCACAGTTCTTCTTACAGCCAAATATGAAAGGATTAATCCATTAAAAGGTTTTAACATTTCATTTCCATGAATTGTATCACAGTTCCTCTAAAGGCCAAAGAAGAAAGAATTACCGCTTTCAAGGGTTGTAATATTTGACTTCTTGGAAGAGTATCACAGCTCCTCTTAACGTCAGGTAAGACAGATCCATTTCTTAATCCAAGAAATATTGATCTCGAATCTTATTTCCCAGAGAAAATATTGATTTTGAATTTATTTCACAGAAAAATGAGATGTAACTTGCGTCAGAGGTCTAGCTGGACCAATTACCTATTAACTTGCCATCATTGTTAAAGGATGAATCCAATTAAGCTCAAGGCTGGCAACAACACAGCAAGGAACCGCAACAAGAAACATGAATATGCTTGAGACTCAATAGGGTGTAAATCTGTCTACTTCATCAAAGGGTTAACGTCCTTCTGGCTCTAAACAGACAATGCTTTATTTTCTGCTTCTGCGAGACTGTTTTCAGCTTCCCGTAACTCCAGTTTGATACCACAACAAAGAGACATTGATCCCTATTTAAACTATCTTTAGATCTTTGCATCTAACTGAAACTTTCTCATCGATTTAACGATCAGTTCTTCCTCGATAGCCCAGTGTGCTACCTGTCGGGGTAAAGGCAACTTTCGTGCTTTGATAACTCTCAGGGTGTCTTGCATGGATGATAGGTTTAATTGTGAAAAGAGAGCAGTTATATGCACAACCCTTGTGTCTTGCATGGATGATAGGTTTTATTGTGAAAAGAGAGCAGTTATATGCACGACCCATGTGATGAGTGCATGACATTTGTCTGCATTGGGAGTAATAAACATTTTCATTACCTCGTTATGTTAGTGGTGCTTACTGTCAGTGAAGCAATATCGCAAGGTAAGTTGCTGAATAGCTTGTTTACTTAGATAATGACGACATTTTCTGGGAACAGTTAAATGTCATACAAGTATTTAAAGTCATTAAGTTGTCACTTTAGTGCAATTTAGTTCTTAACATGTTATTATTTTTAAGCAGCAATCTCTTCAGGAATTTAGCTAGCTTAGCAAATTGTAATGACACTAAAAGACGTGTTCTGAACACAGAAATGCTTAATCACGCCACTTAATTTCGCTAGGCTACCTTCAAACACATGTATTCCATTAAGTTCATTGTACAGCTCAATAGTATTGGTTACAGGCCTATGTTGTTATAAACATTTATACATGCTACTTTGTACAGTTGATTGCATATCCACCTTGCAAGGCCCTTCCTGATGATATCTTTCATATTGTGTCTACATAGAAGGATCTTGTCTTATACTTCCATCTTTAAATATCATTAGCAACTTGGCTCATCCAAATAGTTAAGAAATCTACAATTATAGAATTTTAATTACAGCTATTAGACCACACTAAGCCATTGGCTAGCAAGTTCTATCTGGGAATACGGAAATAAGACCTGCTTTAATTACAAAAAAACAACACAAGAAAATAAAAATATAAATTCACATCGTCGTCATTTACCGGTCAATCTAGTGAGAAATCAAAAAGCAGAGTTAACAATCTTGTTGACTTGTTGACATTACATTATTTAATATTTAACATTTATTTAATATTTTATCAAATGTTGATGCAAGTTTATCTCTGAAGATCTTCCAATGGTAAGACTTAGCTTTAAATAGTATACCCTTCAGGATTGGATGATTGTGCCTAGCTGAAAAGTAAATCGCTTCCTATTCTATTTTCAGTACTCTATCTTTTTGAATTTCATCTATTTGGCGCCGGAATAAACTCATATGCTTTAAAAAAGAAGTTAATGCCCTTCTGACTCTCAGTGAAAGATTTACAAGAATTTTTCTCTCTTCATGTTTCACGTCATTCTTGATCACCCTCTGATCTCATTAACAATCAACTTCACACATCATCCCCTACTCCTTCAAGCTCTCTCTCCATCCCTTGTCTCTAAGGGTTATAGCCCTTAAGTCGTAATCACTTGGCATTGTCCCGCAAAACCAACATTGCATAATGATCACCTGCAGCAGAATAATTACTGCCTGTCTGACTAACGATCTCTGGTCAATTACAAGCAACGCAGCACCGTAGGCTATGTTCTAAACTCAGTGTTAATCTCTACTTCAACGTGACTTCTAAAAGCAAGGCGTGATGTAACTCTCAGCATACGTCTCAATTGCGTCATCAAAGCAATTGAACACTATTGTGTTTTTGTTGTTTTCCGCGATCCAAACACAGCGAGAAAGTGTTTTCCTTTCTTCTTCGGCCTACCATAGAGCTACAAGTATGTAACGAAGGGTACTTGATGGCGTATGAAACAACTGTTTTCTTTCGCTAGGAATGTCATGTTGGATATACTCATTTGAAAGGTGCTATGGTTTACTATTCCACTGATAACTAATTGTTGTATAAGCCATTTGTGATGCTGAGTTATCTTTGAGTTGGAAACACTGTATAAGGATAACAATTAATTCTCTTAAATCCTTTGTCTCTGGAATTGAGCGGAAATTTGATCCCCTGAAAAATGCATTTCAGTGGTTTCAGCTTATGTTTTGCCTGTTTGAGGTAAGTGTTGATTTTTCAATTGATATTGAAATGTTCAGCTCCCCAGGAAATAATGCCACCAGCACCACCTTTATTGAGTTGAAACATTAAAAGTGATTTTAGTTTTGGTTCCAGAATAAGTATTTAACCCATTGCTTACTGGAACCTGGTGGTCCCTGTGTGAAGCCTATTGGAATTAGATAATTCAGTAGCCAACGGGTTAATTTGATTGCAACGGTTCCGATAGAGGAAACATACCGAACATGCAAGTTAAACTGGAGCGTTTTCAATCCTTTTCCCTCTTCCATTATGATTTAATCTCTTTCTTGGTCATTTCCTTGATATATGTTTTTTATCACACTTTCTCTTTCTATTTCTCCCTCTCTCTTGCCCCCCCCCCCTCTCTCTCTCTCTCTCTCTCTCAATAGTAAATGTGGATATGATAATAGTAACGCTAATGATGTTATTACTATTGATAATAATACTATTAATATTAATAAAGTTATCATTATAGTTATTATTTGCATTATTGTTATTATTATTATCATTATTATTATTACAATAATAATAGCAACAATTATGATAGTTCAATGTGTATTGTATAGCATATAGTACAATGTGGCATGTCTCTATGCAGTCATATTTATACTTTCACATTGTTCAGCAAGAATGCAGCAATCGTGAATTTATAGAACAGTACACAACATGACAATGATGGTCTGAAATTTTAATTGCAGAGATGCTCACCTCTTCACTCATATTCTATGTGGTATTCTACTAATTGATTGTGGATGATGCATTGTGGGTTACTGGATTAATGAGTTGGTCTCTATCAATTAGTTGTTTTTGTTTAAATCCAATCACATCTGTTATTATATTGCTAATGAGTTTTTGAATATGGACAGATGTGGAAAAGATACAGGAAGTATGGGACATAGATACCCTTGGACATTGAATCATAAACTCTGATCAAGGTTTGCAACCTAAGGCACCCTTCCACACAAAGTGATGTAGTTTCGGTGTGTTGGCTCAGTCAGTAGAGCGTCCGCCTCACAACCGGGAGGTCGTGGGTTCGAACCCCGGCCGCGTCATACCAAAAGACGTTAAAAGACAGGAGTTGCTGTTATACCTTGTTTGGCGTTCAACAATAAGGGATAGAGCAACGTCGATCTGGCGCTGCTCAGTGGCTGCCGGGCTCACGATCAATTGGGCAAAAAGAATTTCCATTTTCGGTTTAACTTAATGAAGTTTGGAGTGGACTTTGAAAGATTATTATTATTATTATTATCATTATTAGTTTCCCCATTTCAGGATTGATTTTCTTGCGTGCCAGTCGTTTATTATTCCTTAAACTCTCCTCAGTAACCAGGAAGAATAGGAGAATGGGAGGATAGGGAGGAAGAGAAGAGGAGAAGAGGAGAGGAGGAGAGGAGGAGAGGAGAGGAGAAGAGGAGGAGAGGAGGAAAGAATGAGAGGAGGAAAGGAGAAGAGGAGAGGAGGAGAAAAAGAAGGGAGGAGGAATGGGAGGGAGATCTCATAATGTAAAAGAGAAAAATAATTCTAAAATTTACTTTGAAAGACAGTTTGGTATAGTTTGGTATAGTTTGGTATCACAAAATAAAAATGAAAAGCAGAAGAAAAAAAATGGAAAGTATATCTTTCAAGGAAAATCGGGAGACAAAAAAGAGGGTAAGATGGAGACAAACTAGCGATCGATCAGCAATGAAAGTGGAAGTGCATTCATTCCCTCTAGTATTTACCAATCAATTTTTGTTTTCCTTTTATTGGAAGCAAGTCAGAGTTGGGGGGGGGGACCATTAAATGTCTTCCTGCTTCACTTCCACCAACTTACCGGCTGACATAAAATCTATTTGTTTATTCTATTTTCCCGGTAACATAATATAGTGTCAGTTCAAAACTATAATTGCTTCAGCGTCAAAGGAAATTTCTAGTGCCCTGAATATTCCCTCGATAGTTGCTGAGAGTGAGAGCTATATATATTCCTTTCAAGCGCAAGATATATATTTGAGTTACTTCTATCTATAAGTATAAATGCAATGATGCAATGCCTATCAATCGAGACAGAAATGGTATCAGAACAGGACGTAAATGAGGATTGTGTATGCATTTATCACCTGAACATTTTAAACTTTTTGTTGGTTACGAAACACCTTTTCATCAAGATAATCTACTACCGTTCATGACCATTCAAATGCGCTCAAGTTTGGAATGCCATGTCAATTAAATTTCTAGCTAATTACACAAATGTGTCCTTGATAGCCGACCTCAGATAGCATTACATCCCTTAAATTGGTAAGTGTTCATTTATCAGCAGACTACATTTTTATACCCAACAAATAATTTGTTTCACCCTGTCAGTGCCATATAGGCGCCCAAAGTTTTTAATTGGATCAAATAGGAAAAGCTCATTTTCTTCAAGAGTAAAGATTCAAGACTTATGATATATATCTTCGCAGTCGGATGGATGAATTGTTATAGTCTAACAGATAATTCTTTAACGTCCATGGAACACTGACTTATCAAGACATTCTAGCTAGCAAGAATCATACACAAAAATGATTAAAAGATAAGAAAAAGAACTTATTCTCTTCTTTTTCCCCAAAGTAGAAACACAAACAATTTTAGTCTGCGCAATTTTCTTTAGCAACGGAGGGAACCATTCAATCCTTCAATCAGATGTTCTTGTCAACAGTTTTTCATTCACAGTTGTTCTGCCCCAGGCAGTTTATTCCATCTAGACTGTTTTATCGCTTCTGATATCGACTCAAGAGAGAAGCAATATGAATTATGAAAAGAGCAAGGTTACTAACTCTCTCATGGAATACATCATGCTTGTACACACAGTACCACAATAAGAGAATGTTCATACTATTCTTCTATCAATTAAAGGCACACTGTCCTACTTGTAGCTACTTGCTCCCTCTATATAGAAAACTGCCCAAATCGGTGCCTGTTGGTCCCCCATGATCCTCTTTTTCTTATGTTAAATGAGAGCTGAGTTAATGATATAGCCACCTGTCACAGTGACCTCGATGGCTCACTGGGTGGTCTAATCCCTTCTAGCTGAAGTAGTAAAGCCTCCCTTTAAAAGGTAATGGGTATAATAGTGAATATCTGAGGTAGATGGTAAGATACTATTAATCTCCTAAAACATAGAGAGTTCTAAAAATGCTTTCACATAAATACTCACACTTATGGTTAATTTTTCCTAATTGAGGTGTCATATGAAAGGGCAGAAATTGAACTTTCTAGAAGTGTGATTTTCTGTTTGAAATTCAGATACCGCCCGCCAAATGACTTTTTGGTTTTCTCTCTTCAAAT